GCAGGTTTCAGGTGTTCATTCCCTACCGCGAGCAAAAGTAAAGGACGTTTTCAACCTTGACATTAGGAAATCTGATTTTGGACGTAGGGAACAAGTTTATAGCTTCTGCCACATTGATAAACTAACTATGGGGGACAGTAGCAGTATCATTTACTTGTGCTCATTAGCAGGATTGCAATTCAACCAATCGTACTCAAGTGTGGTTCACTAAACTAGAGTAGGCATCATCTAGGTGTTTGATGAAATCCCTTCCATATTTGACACAACTGTGTACGTGAGAGAATAAAACTCTCTCTATACACATTAGCGTCGTCTATTGCAGAATAAAACGATCAAGTGAATATAATAGGTCTCCCTTGGGATTGGAAGCAGGAAGCTCCTATTGTGGGGTAAGATTCACAGAAATGTTTGTAACGTAACAAAAACATTTAGAAGCTTATAAAGCGCAGTTTGTGCTTGGAAATACTGACACAAGGTAACATGCGATGGATCTACCGTCATTGGCTAGAAAGTAAACCCATTAATTATGGACGAGTTTAAAGAGCAAGGATTAGTTTGATTTGAGGTAAACGATTTCCTGACTGATGGTAATCAGTCTACCCTTCAGAAAAGAAAATACAAAGCGAATTTCCTTGCTCATTTTAGTAAGGAATCCACGCTTTCAATGGTCTCCAGTTTGTCAACTTCTTAAAGAATGCCATTATTTTGCTTGTTTTAATTATCTTGTTGGAAATACTTAGTTTCTAGCAATTTACTCTTCTGCTGTTATCCGATACCCTTTTAGTGAGGGCGAGAACCCTCGCCCCTCTGGGTATTTGTTTGCCTGCTTAATCGAAAGTGACAGCTGTCCATTCAATGTTTGCTTTGCTGATTGACATCCACTTACTAATAAAGCTCTTGTTGCCAGTTCCACACACTAATCCGTGAGGGAAAATTGGTTCTACCCGGTCAGAATTTTAGATAAGAGTCAATTTAGCGCTCTTTCCCCTTCCTCCACCGCCGGGTATCAGTCCTGCGTAAAAATGTAGCGAAGGCGTGGGTGAGTGTGCGAGCACGCGCGTGAATGTTCCATCAAACTATTCTGTGAATTTAAAGGTGTCCATTCACAAGAAAACGAATCCCGACTCCTCCAAACGGCATTTAAGAATTTATAACTCTTCTCTTCGCGTGATTAACATTTTCTTTCGGTGGAAATATTAAATAAATTCGCCCTAATTATTTTGCCCACTTTGCCACTTAATTCACCGCTAAGCATCCAATTTTAATAAAACTATTAACTCACAAAGTGGAAAATTACAGCACTGCAGCAATAAATAGGTATTTTTGAGATTGGGAAAGCAAACCTTTAAGCATTCTTGACAAATCAGACTTTGAGCTTTCGCATAAGTTCAGTCAAGCTTCTTACAAAGGACTGACTCATAAAATTAACTTGACTGGTTATGCAACTTATTCTGGGTTTGAAAGGTGTTTCTTGAAAAGACTAGTGATTTTAGCATCTGGTCGGACTGGCCAGTAATCAGAAATCCTTACAAGTACCTCTACAATTGCTGCAAACTCCATCGCGAGAGCGAGCATCAACCTGAGGTGGGACGGAACGCTAGGCTTCACAAACGACGAGATGGCTTGATTACATTTTTTGTCTTACTGCAATAATTGAAGGCGAATGCATAAATTAGGCTGTGAACTGATTCCTAGCTCATTAAAATGCTCCAATTCCAAATGGAATAGTGAGTGCAGCACCGCAGAAAAGTAAAACAGAAGGGTGAAGCACGAGACATTTGTCATCCCTTCTTTACGTGTCCAGTGGACAGAATCATTAAACATCTCAACTCAACTATTTTTAAACAACTACGGACGTATATTTGCATACTTTGTTTCATCACTGTCTTACTAATCTAAACATTTCAATGAGTAGTGAGGGATTTATCACTCCGGACTCTTAAATTTATGTTATGCAACCCACTTTCCATCAATGTTGGCTACTCTCCGGCCTAAAGTCAACTTATGTTGCATTAATGAATTGCGTCGGTTGCTGGTCTGCAATTCGACTGCTCAGGTCTCTCCTTTTGTGTTTCAATACCTGCTTGGCAGGAGTGGACGGAGTGTCCTAAAGGCGACTTCCTTCTTGATGGCGTCCATTAGCTTCAGTATTATCGCTTTCTCGTTCTTTAAAGCCTTGATGATATAGACTTGTCAGTTTTTTTTTCACATTAAGGTTTTGAAAGACAAAGTTCTGAGCAAAGGGGACCATTACGTACCAAGGCAAAGCATCATTAATTCTAGCGAGACCCACGGTGTGAGGTGGGTTGCACTTGTTGAAATCTAGAATTGATGGCATTTCCAATCCCGTACACTTTCCTTCAGCATGAGAATAAAGCAAACCCGTGAACTAGTAAATAATCTAAGCACATCATTACACGCTGGAGTAGGTGGTAATGACGTGGTTACGTGCAAAATGTGAAATTGTACAGGGAAAATTGCAGTGTCAGTGGCAAGCTTGGATTTAGCTTTTAAGTTTGATGAGCCGGAAGGTTGCAGTGGCAAATTTAGCAAGGAATGCCGTACACTATCCTAACAACCCCCAACAACCGTTCAGGAGGTGACACACGCCAAACATCGCATACTCATTTGCATTGGGATCTTCAAAGACTTCAACCTTTTAAGGTTCATCACTATCCTACCATTTGCCATAAAACTTGACTCGATATGAAACAAACTCTTATCTCAGCATCGCATGCACAACTTGTGAACACTTTTTCTTAAGTGAAAACACCATATATAGTTCCAAGAAATACAACTTGAACAAAATATCGAATCTAGACAATGATTTTGTTCCTTCGTTGTTTGTCAGCAAAGCTTTGTGTCGCGAGTTAACCATCACGAGGGATTGGACATTTAAGTAGCAAAGTATCAACCTGATGCATCTGTTCGAATTCGTTTTTAATGAGACAAATCACCAGTTCTACAAGAACAGACCACTCAAAATTAACACGTTTGATCAAATTTTATAGGAACGCAAATGAATTTAAGGTTGGAATGGTCGCGGCTGCAAGATGTGCGAAAGCTGGTTAATCATTTTAAGTGTTTAGGACCTAAATCGTGTCCTTTTCAGCGCCAGACCCTAAGGAATGCTAGATAGGCAGTTATCTGCCGCAAACAATTTAACTAATGGAAACCGCGTTACCATCAGTGCAAGCAATTGCAACGCCAAATAAGGGGAGGGAAGTGGACGTCTAAATTTGTTGCTTATTCCTCCAAGCTCTCGCCAAAATGAGACCAATCGGCATGAGTGAATCGCCATCGTCAAGCAATACCCGTTTGTGCAACGTCAACACCTGCTGATCTTCATGAAGTCATGCATTTCTCAACCATGAGCACATTGAAATAGTCTTGAAATGTGGCAAGATAGGGCAAAAGGTCTACCTGACCACTGATACAAAGCCGAGTAAAAGAGTATACCGACTCCCACCTCCCTCAAGAAGGCAGTCAGACAATATTTTTGCCAAATGACATGCAGCAACTTGTGCAATTTTATGGAGGTCTTTTCATCTCCTACGGGAATCACAAATTTTGTCTGCCTCGCTGCTCAAGAGCATTAATGCATCAGTATTTTACTACCACGAATAAATGATCTCACTCGACATTTCGTAAAGGATAAAATTACAAAATTACAAAATGAATAATTGGTATCAGGCCCACTTATGTGTTTGGGCACGAAATTATTCAAGTAAGAGTCCTTTTAGCGAGCTCACCAAAACCTCTTAACATGAACACTTCCTGCATTTAAGTCGACAACTCGGGAGGGGCGGGGGGAGGGAATTATGCAAATTGCTTGCGTTTCTAACAAATAGGAACAGTAAGTTAAAGTGCACTAAAGTAGGTAAAATTAATGGAAGTTAAGGAAGCTTTATCTCAACATTTGTCATTACTTTGGAAGCCACTTTATTCGAAAGCGAGAGTGTAGTGCTCCAAAAGTCTCTCAATGTGTTTTGAACGTTTTTAGAGACATTTAATGATAACTTTTTCTTCCCTTAACTATGGAGTCTGGCGTCATTTTTAGGTTAAAAAGGTCAAACCAAAATAGTTGAGTTGGTGACAGCTTAACGACCGCTGCGATTGCCTGCTGATCTGACCCTACGACAGTATAAGGCGTTTGATGAATGGTTGTGCCCATCGGTCAGGCAAGGGTAGTGCCTCAAGACCTGCGCATCGGGCCAGTACAAATCCTCCACCTAATTTTGCATTGGAAAGCAGCAGCCTTAGCTCAGTTGTCGGAAAGTTTTATACACGTTTGACCTATGTTATTGGTGCTTGGGCCCTATCTTACAGACCATTTGAAAAAGCACTTTAGGTAATTATGCGACCTATGAACATCAGATGGGCCTTTTACACTCAATAAGTCACGCTGAAGTGAGTTGAATGGCTTTGTTATCGAATCCTCATCAAAGGCGTATCTCAACCAACTGCTCTACCATAATTCAGCCTTGGTGATTAACACCCACCGTTATGGTTTGGGTTAATAGCCATCATTACGAGCGCCATTAGTAAAGAGGTAAAACCACCACATAAATATTAGAAGCACTTGATGGAGTTGTCGGACAATAACCAAGGGAAGTGTAAGCTAGTAAAACGAGGCTCCTGATCCCTAATAGCAAACCACTTACAGCATTTGGAAAAGTGTACACTTTAGCTGCACAAAATGTTTTACTAACGAACGTCTTACAAATTTGAATGTGGACATTATAAACAACCACACAACCTACAGAAGTATCTTTTGCCTGCTAATGTGGACCAAATTCAATAAATTTGTCAAAGGGTTGCCACATATGAGAAAAAAATACTGCGAGAAACTCTCTTAGACTTGACCGCAGTGATGCACATTGCGCTTGCCTTAAGTGCTACATGCATTTCGTCTTCATAAATGGCACATTGCGTTACTGTAATAACATTTGGGAGTACGCCAAATCAGGATGAAGAAAACTTTTGAGATAAAATGTAAAATTATGATTTCTTGACAGATAGGCAGCTAAATTACAAAATACTTATTCTAAAAGTGCAATAATTTTGGCTTCATTTTACAGTTTACAGTGAAAGAGTCCATTTCGGATGGACACTAAAACTAGAAGTCCCTTTCTTTACAGGTCATTTGGAGGTCAAATGAATTTGTTTGCAGGATTATGGCTTAGCGACAACCACCTTTAACCTAGAGTACCGTTTCCTTGCTTTTAGTCGTGAGGGCAGTTTGAATACTATATGTAGAGTTAATGTAAATGAAATCCTTTCCGCTTATGCACCGCAATTGTATCCAACCCGTTGTACTTACTTCAATCTCGTCTACCCTCCTTCTAGCTTGTTGGTCCCATGCACAGAACAAGCTATTTAGAGTTTCATGGCACCTAAAAAGGTAATTCGCTACAGGTTTTAAAGTGGGAGCACATTACCTTTCGCATCCGAGACCAGCACTACAACCGACAGCGCGTTGGCTGTGAAGTGCGAAAATATGGAGATAAAATAACCTCCTGCTGAATCAGTTTCAAGTGTGTTTTGTGGTGGAGATTCTTCAATTGCAAAAGCGGCCTTTATTTTCTCTCCTCTTTCACTCGATACCTTCATTGGCAGAGACACTACACAAATCAGAGCAGCTTTGTTTTAGTACGCAGGTCAAACGGTTTTGCTCACAGTACCTGAGATAGTAAACTGACGCGTTTTGGACATAATTCGGTACATTCTTGGATTGCACAGCCACATGCTGCCTTGCCAGTGCAGGCGAGGACCACGCCTGTCCACTGTTGCTGAATGATGCGTAGCGAATATGAAGTTGCATTCACCTTCGAGATAAGTTGGACATTAAACCCTCAATTAATCTTCACATTCAAGGACCGCCTTCATCGGGTCAGCGGGGGAAATTTTAATGGCTTAAAGGTCCGGACACCCAAATTTTGTGCAAATTTAAATAAGGGCACGATTGGTGATCGTAAAGTGGAAGGGTTGCAAAAAACGGATTAGTCATATATTAGCAAATCCATCTAGAAGTCCAGTTTTGTACTGTTCACAGTGGGGATAATTGAGTTCATTTTGTGTTCAACGGTGACTGCATTAACTCGATCAAAACTGATGCATTCCATAAAAAAGGAAGCCAAATGTTAATTATTTTAGTTTCAGGCTGTTCTATTCGGTGAGATACTTGACAGCGGGTCAATTGGGCTCCTCTCTCGTGCCCTTAATCAGGCTCCTTATTGTTGCAAAATTCGCCTTATTTTACTGCAAAAAAGTATGCCCTACAAACAACTGTCATCGTACGCCATTCTGCCACACAATTTTTGATGTTAAAATAACCAACTTAATAAATGCCATTTTTTTAAAATACTACACCAAAGTGTTCTGCTAGCTTGGATAACATGAGGGATTTTAATTTGCGGATGCAAAACTGTTGTAAACAAGCCGTTTTTAACCTTGTATGAGAGTGGTATCAAGGCACGAATGAAGGATACAGATGGTTGGAAGGCCTGACTGTAAGTATTTTTAGTGAGAGGTTCAGAAACACTATAAAATTTAATTAAGACTGACCCTCCTGTAGGCGTTTGCTGCAACGACGGCACACAAAACGGCAACACGACTGAGTCACTCGCGACGATGAAGCTAAGGCGACACACGCCAGGTAAGGCGCGGCTCGCGATAGGCCACATCACCGCCGTTATTTTACATCAGAGGCCAGCAGATTAGAAAAGTTTGTGGTCAAATTTTAAACTCCAACTTTCCTAAAACAATATACGTGAAACCCGATTGTTTTGACTAACATTTGCGTGATTTTTTGTGAGCTACTGCATGAGGGGAGGACAGTAAAGACGTTTTGTCTATTTACACCAAAGCACTATAAATATTGCGATCTGGAATTGACAGCCGAATGCTTGACCATGAACAGCCTTAAATTCTTCTTTAAGAGGCATGAAATGTCATACAATTAGCCTACACCGAGAGACCCCTCTTACCGGATGTCTTAGACCAACTCTCTTTGTGCGAGGTTCAACTCCACAGCCCATGTCGAATAACGTGCTTGAAAACGGTATCAGTTTTACTTGTAATTTTGAACAATGTAAGGTCAACTTAATTCATTGGCAAATGCCTAGTTTGGTAATGAAAGCGTTTCCTTGCAATCAGAAATATTTACGCTTTGGGAGTCAGGATAAATGCCAAGGGATTCTTATTTCAGAACCACCATTCCCTCTTATTTTACAGCGAAGTCTAACTTTAGTGCTTACCACATCATTTAAAGTTATCAAAGAAGATGCAATATTTTTGCAAGTGTAAGACCAACTAAGTGCAAATTTTCTAACGGAAGGGTCAAGCAATCTGTTGCGCACTGACACAGACGAAACCAATCGAGCTCCTGACGGGTCTGTCATTGGTGATGACGACAAGTACAGCGTCATTGCTGTTGAACATGACTTTAGGCCGTTAAAATTTTCCTAGTAAAGTCGGCAAAAAGCATCCCAGATCAGTCTGCCCGGTACTTTGATCTGAAGATAGGTGTGGACTTTACACACCATATAAAGAGTCAATGATGTTAGGGTGGAAAGTCTCCGTTATCGGGCGAAGCGGCAATATAAACGTTGTACTAATGTATACAACGTTGTAAAGGTCACCACGTCTAGATAATAAGAGTTTGTTTGAAATTCGACAGCAAACCTTATTCACATTTACAAATCAGCGCTTAATTATTTAGTCGTGCAAGAAGAATAGGAGGACAAGGGATAGAAAGCTTGATGAAGATAGGGGTGAGGGAGGGGGTAGGAGGGGGGAGGAACGATAACGCGTGGCGGACCGCAAGTGCTGCCGGAGCCACCTGTTGCATGAGCTATGGACACACGTAGAGAGCGGACGTACGCGGCTGTGTGCGTGGGCCATTCAGTGGGACAGACAGACCAACCCATCCGTCGCGTGCGCGTGTGCGTCCGTACAAGTACACTCCTTTGACCGAGAGACCCGAGGCCATGCCACTTATCTCGCTTCTCACCGCACGTAAGTCTCGTGCTTTCATACGAAATTTGGCTTATATCATTGTTTTTCATGTGATACCTGAGTCCGCACTACGTGTTTTATCCTCATGCAACTGTATTCCACCTCCACTTAAGGCCTTCCAACCTTTTGGATGATTAAAATCATGGACCAAACAACACTATTTGATACTGTTAGGTGGATCCACTTCAAGCTGTGCTGATCTTTAAACCGGAGATGTTAACTGTAAGGGTTTTTATTCGCTTTAACGAAAGAGCGTATCAAGAATTGGTGAGAAACAGGTACAGTCTACTCGATGATGACGAGGGTCACCTAATCAGATGGCGTGTGCGATTTCAAACTATCTAATTCGAGCGCTGGTAACTTGGAAGAGCTTTCTTCAACAAGAATGCATTTTCCACAACTTATCAATGGCACAAAGCTCACCCATTTGGTTGCTTGGAGGGAATGTTTTTTTGTGAGACATGTGAAGGTGACAATGGAAGTCCTTAAATATGCGCTCAGTATTCCATCGATTGCATTGCACTGTCTATGCCCCTACCGGTATGGCAGACCTTTTCCGTTTTTAGGTCGACGTATTTGCTTGATCTCTTGATCACTAAGCTTCGATCGCCCGTCCCTAATGTATATGAATTATTTGTAGTAAAAATCTGCCACTTTATTCGCATACCATTAGAATATGCAGTTATGATTTGAGATTTGCAATATGGCTTTCCTCTGGAGCCTTAAGTAATGCAAAAATACATCCATTTTCCGTTTTTAGTGAGGCTCCCTTCTGCGATGAGTCAGCTGCTCAACTTTGTGTCCATTTTTTTCATACTGGCAAATATATTTATTGTATCTACCAAAACCAATGGCGTACAACATTTAACTTACATAATACAAGAAGAAGCGCCCAGAGGGACCAAGGTGGGCAATTTGGCCGACGACATTCAGCAGATGTTTGGTACATACCCAACAGATGGTGAGAAATCAACTGTCAATCTGATGATCACCAACTGGCAGGACATTGGATCTCAAAATTTTGCCATTGACATGGGCAGTGGTCATTTAATCGTGACCTCAAAGTTAGATAGAGAAGTGCTCTGCCCTGACAACAGCGGTTCAGGACCAGCGAGGTTCCCATATCCCTCTGAAAACGGTGGAGGTCATCCAATACCTGAGAAGATCCACTCTCCCGAAGCCTCCGACAATCCGTGTACTCTAACCCTCCGTGTTGTCTACACGCCTGAACAAAACAAGGATGACTTGAAGGATCCAGTTCTTCTGACGGTGAGCGTTATAGTAGCCGATATCAACGATCACGTTCCGATTTTTCCCCAAACTCGAGTCAATGTGGAACTAGGAGAGCTATCAGCGGTACCTGGAGAGACGACAATTAATCTTCCCACGGCAAGTGATCCTGATGCGGGGCCGAATGGTACTCTTTCTTATTGGCTGGAACCTGTCCGACCCCAACACGGGCGTCAGAACTTGAATTCGACAATCTTCCCCTTCAATTTGGAAGGTCTAGTGGATGGCAACCCTCTGCGATTGCGGCTGAATCAGCCATTAGATTATGAAAATTTGAGATTCTACGAAGTTATGCTATGTGTTGAAGACCACGGGACACCAAATCCACTCAGTTCTCGACTACGAGTCCACATCGACGTTATAGACGAGAATGACAACATTCCAACCTTCACGAAACAAAATTATTTCCGAATAATAAACGAGTCATTACCTCCTGGAAGCGTACTACTGGATCTGTACGCGCAGGACCTTGACAGCGGTCAGAACGGACAGGTCAGTAACCTCAGATTTATATTTTAAACAGATGTGATGCTTCATGGGACAGGAATTATAGGCGGAGTACGTCTCTCATAGTGTTATCATTCGATTAAGTGATGTTTTAGTGTGAAAAAATTGAAATGGGCCAAAAGTTAATTTACAAACTTGTCACAATTTTTTGGTGAATGCTGCAAAGCATATCGGAAACTGGTAGCTGACTATAAAAAGGACTGGTGCGAACACTGATTTTGTGGGTAGACATTTGTTTACCCTTGCTTATCTTGTAATGGCTGCTATCCATGGATCGCAAAGTCTAATGCCCTACTGATAAAAGTAATACTTGTCGTCTGAATCTTGGGCCAATATGATTTAGGCGATTCAGAGGTGGCGTATTTTTCACAATGGGAGGAAACCAAAAAACGGATGGTGTTGACTGGGAAAGCATTCACAATGTCCATTCTATCAGAGTTGTTGAGGTTTGATTCGCAAAGCTTCCATCCAAATAGCATTCTTTTTTATTCATCTAGATTAGTATTTGGACGCGATTTAACTTTAACATGACCTCATTGCTCATCGTTATGGCGGTGAGCCTTTAATATTGTATTGAGTTTAGCGCAGACCTACTAGTGATGGCTGGGGGCGATATAAAATGCATCAGATGCTGGACGATCGTGAAGCCATGGGTTCAGGAGTGGTCTGTTTTTTTATTTGCTGACTAGTCTGAAATAAATTCTGAAAATAAAATGCAGACATACACCAGGCTTCTATGTTCACTAATTGCGTCTCACGGGTGGGGTTATGTGCACGTCTGGGGATGTCACTAAGTCGCCTATCAAGGAAACACTAAATAACTACCTTGAGGAGACAAAATTCACAGAATCGAAGGCTAACCGAATCAAGCAGACGTGACCTTTTGGCTGCTACAAAGGTCCTTGTTTAAATTAAATGGGCTAAGGCATTGCATGAATTATGGTTGTCAACGTTGACCAGACATAAAAATCTTAATTTGCTGATTCTAAAGGCTCCAAGACTTCTTACCATTCCATCTTAGTACTTTTTTGGTCAGAAGCACTGCTAAAGAGCTGCTGTTGAGCAGCTAGCAATGCACTCCACATCGTGAAGTATGACGGACAGAAAAGTGTAAAGAACTAAGAGGCGCTCTCAAGACATCCAGGAAGGCATCTGCTATCGTTTTTAGTGCAGACTAATCATTTTCTTAACACTGACAAGGAATGGTCTTGAGCTTCGAGATAATAGCCGATTACCACAGCTATGTGATGTTATTATCCTTCAAAATCTCAACTTGTGCGTCGATTGACTTAACATGGTGCCACCGGTAGGAGTGTTTTTAACCAGTAAAAGCATGATGCAGGACTGCAATATTTGAAGTAACTCACTTAGGCTTATTTTTCGCCTTAAATGAAAATCTATTTTGTGCAGAATAACATTACATGCTTTCATAAATTCAATTTGTCATCTCTTCTACTCGAAGTGAATATCCTGTCTTCTGCTACTGAGTTAACGGTGGAGGCTAGCGAATGTTTATATTGTGCTGATAGCGATGCGCTAAATGATATCTAACGGGCTCAGTACTTGGATTCTTTAATGTTTACTCACAAACTTGCTTAATGGATCTGCTTTAGGGCTAACCACGACTGCGGATCAACAAACTGACTAGCAAGTTGCAAACTTTTGTGGAAACCTTGTAAATCGCTGTGCCTCCCTCCTCGAGGACAAGTTAAGCATTTTGCAGACTCACAAAAGTTCTTGATTTGCTTTTTACTCTCCCAAACTTTGTCTGCTTTCGTGATGCAAAAATATACATAACCTCAGTAAAATTATCAACGAAACGAGAGTTGATGTGCGCAGCAGCTATTAATTGCATGAGCTGCTTATCCATTTTCTGTATCGTGGCATTGTCGCCCTATAGGATCCTTGCTTGCGCCTCCTCTGTCTCCAAAACTGTACGTTACGACGCTTTGATTGCCCACCCAGACACACAAGAAGCTAGGAAGTTTCGGGTGATCTCTTACCACTTGGTACAGACTGCGTGGAGAATCAAACTCCGAATGCGTGCAATCTGGAGGCACGAATACCGTCACAGACAACGCGATTTTATGCCGTATGACCTATGAACGCAATTTTCCAAACTCTTTCTCACTTTATGGAGAAAACGGACATTTGGGATAAAGTAGAGTAATCAGAGAATGCGCTTGCAGTCTGGTTCTACGAGCATTGACATCTCCAAAAAATGTTAGCATGTTCGCAAGATTGCACTATCAAATGGATACCTTATCCATTCTTCCGTAGCGCCTAAACAGACAAGAGATAAACTCATCTGCTTAAGGGAGCGGCTAAATATCTGAACACCAAGTCATAAACTTTCCTTCTGTCAAAGCATAAAATTAATTTCAGCTATTAACAGTTCTGACAGTTGTCGTTTATAGCCTTATTCACTGTTTCGCGTTGCAACCGGAACGCCTTGTGCATCCAACTGTGTCCATTAATTCAACAGGCTTCAGTTGAAAATGAATTTGCGTGCCGCTACTTCTGGCAGCAACTGTTGTCCATCTCGACTCCATCATCTAAGGAGATTGGTGGATATGGGAGGAGATTTTGCATTGAAACATCGTTATCCCATCAGAAAGCAACTAAAGTGAACAGGAGAATGCTAGAAATAAGGATCTTTGCAATGGATCTGAACTTTAGGGAATGTTTGTGAAATTATGGGCCTACAAGTAGTTAATTATTCCCTTCTTGGGAAGTGAGGAAGCTACTCTTTGATCTACTTAATTTTCTATTCCATCCACTCAATAAATTAATGCAGAGTTGTGTCGATATCTGGCGGGAATGGGTATTTTGAAAAGGGATTGGCTGAAGCAGAATGTATTTACTTTTTCCCGCAGGTATCATTCGAGCTACCTGCCCCCATGACAGAAGAGTCGAAGATGGTCCAGCAATATTTTGACGTCCGTACAGTTACACCTGGCTATGCAAAACTCTTTATCCGGCAATCTCCTGATCTGGACACTCAAATCGAACCGCAGTCAAGTGCCGCATTAGATGTCTGCATTCGTCGAAGTCGTGATTTTACTTTTCGTGTAATCGCCACTGACAACGGTTCATCAAGGCGACACACATCGGAGGCTACTGTAACTGTGCGGGTGTTGGATGTTAATGACATGACTCCTAAAATATCCATCAATTTCCTCACAAACCAGGGCCCTCAATACCAAGGAAACGTGCTTTTTAGAGGGACCTTACCTCAGAAGACCCACGGAGTGGTGATGGAGAACGTGGAACGCAGTGTCATTGCGTTCGTTTCCGTGAGAGACCTCGACTCAGGACCGTGGGGACAAGTATCCTGCAGAACAGACAACGAAGCCTTCAAGCTAATTTTAATCGGCGAAAATAATGTAGAAATGAATTCATTTGAGGAGCACAACGAGGATGAACCTCGTTCAGCAAACAAAGAGCTCTCCTTCAAATTGATGACTCAGAAACCATTTGACAGGGAAGAAATTCAGCAGGTGAATCAAATCACTAGCAATAAATAAAACTTACACATTTGCATTGATATGAATAGTGTGGCTTAACGTTTGTTTAATTTTCGAACTTTAACTAAGGATTTCCTGCTTAAAAACAGCTTAGAATATGAGTTCTTTTGCAGCAAAAGTATGTGCGTTCAATAGCAAGAGATCAGCCATAACAATGTTTGCCTTTTATAGCGACCCAAAACAATCCAATAAGGTGTGCTTTCGGTGAATGGGCATTGTTCTCGCCCAAGACCGAAAGAAAACATGGAGAACCGGCCAAAACCAATGCAGCATTCAGTCAGAAGGCATTTGGATGAGAGTGTGAAGGACATGGAGTTACTAAGCAAAGTGCTGGACCAAAATGCAGTTCCTTAAGTTTTAGGTATAACCGTAATAGAGAATAGGTCACGGTGGTTCTCCGATTACCCTATTGAAACGGAATCAACTTCTCTACTTTGCAGTGCATTCAACTAGTCGCACAAGAGGAACATAGCAGATTGATATCAGCAAAATGGCAGATTAATTCTTTACGAGTCTCCACAATTTAATGTAGAATTGGTGATTTGCTTTGGGAATTTGAAGTTGTAGTAAGGCTGAACCGTTGCGAAGACGGTAAGCGAACTTGTTCCACGTTGGAATACAAAATAAAGTAGAGAACCAAAGAAGTTAGTCAAAAGGCGAGAGTATGTCACCCTGTGAAAGCGGCAGTCGGATATCCAAACGACTCAATGGCGCCTTTTTTGAATAAAGAAGTATGGGAAGGCCATAACCCTTTTATTTGAATTTGGATACCAAAAGAGTCGTTAACACTAAACCGGAAATTTAGGAACGAGCAGATGTCGCATGGCGTAGTGCTAGTCTCTGATCCATAAACTTCCGGATACTATGAAGTTTTGTGGGTCCTAACATGCTCAATTTAAAATAAGGTCAAACATCACAGCCAAATTATTGTATTTCTGCTTGATTTCACATAACCTATTCATTGGCTTTTGGCAAGCCTTTTAAGCAAGGCCAAGGTGATCGGTGGTGAAGCCATATTCGTGAGCAATAGGCGAATAACTGAACGTTAAGGTGGTCGCGGCAAGGACAACCATGACTGAATAAGGCAAGTTGGATGGAAATACAAGGGAAAAGAACTTCTGAGAAATCTAAACATCTGACAACCAATTTAATTTAAAATAATTAAAATTTACATGTATCATCTACTGTTCCATGGGTAAAAAAGTATGGGATTGAAAATTCCGCACAAATTCTGGACGTTTAGCGCTGTACTGTCACTGCTCAAACTGAGAGGCAATACGAGTGTGTAGGAATTGTGTCGTTATCTTGGTGAACATAAATAATTAACATGTCTCATTAGGGACGCTGGGCAACACAATTAATAAGGAGAGCTTCGCGCACAACCGCTCAAGCGAAGCTGCGAGCGTGGCTTTGGCATTTCCCAAGGGACATTCAGGAGCTATCAGGAATTCTATTCATGGCTCATAGTATTTTAAAAGTTCCTGCCTTCCAATGGATTGACGCTTTCACTACGCTTAATGTTTTCGATAAATGTGCTAAACTTTTAGTCAACAATCAAATTCACTGATTACTTTTCTACCATTAGTGTCCCGAGCAGGTTCCACATATGTACTGTTAAAATGACAAATTAAAAAGGCGATCTTACTTCTTATTTATTCACAATGCCATGAATAGTAACATAATTAAATATTTATTTTTTACCTCAGGTGCCTTTCCGGATAATATGCATTGACGGTGTTTACAAAACCGGCCAAACGCAGACATTTGTCCAGGACCTCAGCCCACCATCTTTTGTTGTACCTCACAGCGGTATTGCAAATGAAGGCAAGGAGTTGACGATTGTCACTGAAAGAGCAAGACAATTGACAGCGGTATCGCTGGTCTCCGTTCGAATTCTCGATGCAAATGATTGCGCGCCAGAATTCAGTCAAAGCATCTACACATTTTCGGAAGAGGAGAATGTTCCTGATTTTACGAACCAACCATCAACGAAATTAGGGGGTAAACCAATTGGTAGTATTGTAGCTCGCGATCGAGACCTCGATCCCGTACTAACCTACGCCTTACTCAGTAATCCGCAGGATGCATTTAGGATTGACTCGAATTCAGGGACTTTGTACATTGTTCGACCATTTGATAGAGAAGCCTTTCTCACATCAACATATGAAGGAATTGAAGTAAAGAGGAGCAAATCTACAAACGAATCCACCGTAGTGGTACATCTCCAAGCTCAGGTGTCCGATGGTAAACACACAGCTCACACCGAGGTTCAGGTGACTATTGCTGATGTAAATGATTGTCCACCCATATTTGAGAAAACGACGTACGAATTTTTTGTTGAGGAGAACCGCAGACCTCTAAATATTCATCCCATAGGTACAGTAAGAGCTCACGATTCTGATTTGGGGTTGAATGGGAAGATTATTTATCGTCTGCAGCCAATAAACGACCATGGCTTCCCCAATGCATCAACCTACCTACGGGATTACAATCCCGCAAGACACTTTAAAATCGATCCAAACACTGGAAGCATACACGCATTGCGTCCGCTTGACAGAGAACAGCATATTCAGCACATCTTTCATGTCGTCGCTATTGACACTTCCGATGGCCAACTTTACCAGCAGACAATTAATGGAAAGAAAACTCAATTCACTGCAACAACTACGGTGACTATCATTGTGAATGACGAAAACGATAATGCTCCCACGATCACCTTCCCTGCATCGCATACAACACTTCGGGTTGAGGTGGGAGCACCAGCCGGACAACAAATCTTTACAGTTACTGCCACAGACCCTGATGCAGGAGAGAACGGCACTGTGCGATACTCCCTGCGCCAATCCACACCCATTGTAATGGATGCTAGAGTTGACGAAGCTAGTGCTGATGATGCCATCTTTTCCATTGACGAACAGGCAGGAATTGTTCTACTGGCAGAAAAACTCCCTAGCATTCCCACAAAATACTTTTTAACCATCGGAGCTCATGATTTGGGAAGCATCGTACAAAGAAACACGTCGATTGCAGCCATCATTCACGTTGTGGCTGTAAGCTATTCTACTTGTATCTTTGCATTTGGGTTCTGTAAAATTAACACAATTCCTATGAAATTTTTTACTTTTTAGATACTAAAGTTGTAGATTATGGAGTAGAGTTAACTCATGTGAGACAGACTTCTTTTAGTTGGTTTACTTCTCGTACACTGTAGTCATTGCATTTGCAACCAATTTTGTTCTCATCAGACAATCTGACTTGAAATTTATCATCTAAAAATTTTCCACGCTTTTTCAGATAGTTTTTAAAATTTAATAACCTGATACACATGTTAGGACTCACTTGTTGCCTAGTTGATGCTCGAGGTACACGGATCCATGCTACTTGGGTAGCTAAAGCGTAGTACGTTGTGGGGGCCCTGCGATTGATCAGTGTAAAGAACCGAGATCACAAACAAGTGAATAATTATGTATTACTCAAATTCACGATTAATTATTTAATAATCAGAAAAATAGCCCGGAATCTTTGGAAAGTTACAAAGGAGAAAGTAAGACATCGGTGATTGGTGGAGGAGAGGCAGCTCAGTGCTTTCTGGATAGCTGTCCACCCGGTGTGCGAGCACCGCAGATCCGAAGTCGCGCTCTCGGGTTTTCGCGTGATGGAGGTGGCAGTAGCAGGAGCGAAGGCGATGTTGCTGAGGAGGAGGGTCAAATAAACCCCGAGATATCTCAAATGGCACCACCATTACCGCTTCCGCCTCCATCGACGATAGTGCAACCCTTTGCTTTCCTCACCGATCGCATCATTATCTTCGTGCTCTCTTCCATTTTCGTTGTCCTCCTGATCGTCACCGTTGTCCTCATTCTCCTCATACGTCGTCGCAGATTTATTGACGTCAATACAAATCACGAGCACAAAGACGAACCAAAGGGTAGGATTCTGAAATGCTATTGTGAAAATGAGGAGCTTATTTATAACCACCTTTACTCGTGGGTGGGCCAATGTAACCTGCATGAAGTGGACTCTAAGCAGTGTCGATGCACCATGAATACGAAACGGGGCTTACCACATTTAGCGTCCAGAAATATCAACAGTCTCTGCATTTATTTTTTGGACGAATTTCATTGACTTTCAACCATATTGACAGTGATTTGTTTTAGATAATCTAGAGTTCACAGATGTGGTCAGTAATCCTGTTTTACTAATATAATTAGGGGTAGAAGATATGCTAATTTGAGAATGTTGCAAGATACACCGGAGCAGATCTTTGGATCGGCACAATTTTTTACATTGAACAAGCCTACTGTGTTTGAAGCGTTCACCAACCATTCATAGAGAAGACAAGAAACAATGCAACTTAAAGTATTTCGAGTAAGAGCTCGCTCTTTTCTGTAAGAGTCTATCTGAAAGGAGGGAGACGCATTAAGCGTCTAAGGCTTGTGACAAGATTTACTGGTTGTAAGCTAGACATAATGGTTCTAACACTGGCTCGAATAGTTAGCAGGAAAGCCGAAGGAAACAATTCTACCCAGAAGACAAACGGAATAAATGCTCTGTCATCTTTGTACCACTTTACTATCTTGTTCTGAAATTCTCAGAAGCATTATTTTGTTCCGAGCCCAAAATAGCACTCCAGTATGTATAATCTGTGCTAAAAGCCCCTAGGACTGTTTGACATAAATATGATAAGCCGTAAATGTCAATGATTGGATAAAGCAAATTGTGAATAGGTGGTTGGTTATTTGTTAAATATTCATACTGCTTCGAAAAGTTTTATCGAAGCCACATTTATAATCACTAAATTAGTTAAGCGAAAGTGATCTGGTAGTAGACTGGATTGTCTCTTAGATTTATAATTCCCCAGGCGTCGGAGATGGTAATGCTGCTTCTCTAGAGGCAAGCCACTGCGCCATCTGAAGCTCAGAACGCCTGTCCAAAACTCGTGATTTAAAGCCACTAGAGATGCCAGGAGAGCTGTGCTGAAGGTCGAAGAAAACATTATAACTACCTCTGTAAGCGTTTTCATGAGTGCAAGGACCTTATCCAGACAGGTCAAGTGTCAGTCAATTTCAGCCGATCCTTAATTCAACCTATTGACTAATTTAACGAACGAAAAATTGCATCACCTTCGGCTCGAAACACGACAAATTGACTTTTAAGTTGATTAATAGTTAACCTCTAGGCGCTACACAAAATCACAAATTTTAATTGCAAGTAGTTGTTTGGATGCCCACATCCGACGATAACACAATATTGCTACTCTCTTGATATGGTGCAAGAAACCAATTTCTATGATGTTCCATACCTTGATCGAGCATAAGATCACGCAAGTGCCTCCAATCCGTCAAAATAGGCTTGTCTTTTGAACAGAGCACTTCAGTGTAGCGTTGACCAAAGTCGAAAGTAAATGTCATTATAGAACTTCAAGCAGTGTTGTGCAATTTACCAACTCCAAATCGATTGGAAGTGCAAATTTTGAGGCTTAAATCCCCGTACGCATTCAGTTTCACAGATTCAAAACAACATTGTCCGTGGAGGATTACAGTGTCCAACGAACACACTGCAGCTGGTTCGAAATGATGAGGTGCCCGATAGTAAAGCAGTTTTCTACAGAACGGGTTTTCCATCCGATGGAACATCTCATAGCGACTCCGAAGCGAGGAGCATAATCGCATCAGAGACCTTTCCGATGACAGGAGAAGATCCTTACACTTTGTTGAAACCCTTAAGTAAAAATCAGGGCGCGTCCCTCTCCTCAAACGAAGTGAGTTATCTCTGAAATGCCGATGCTTGCATTCTCATGCCAACAAATAAAAAAGCAAATATGTGTTAAATTGTACGAAATGTGCGGTTCCGTTTATGGTTATTTTAGCTTTTTTCTCACCCTCCTCGCCCTTTATCTAAGCCTTCTTAGAAGGAGGATTAGCTGACGATGGCTTAGTAGGCGTCCCTAGATAGGTGCAATCAAAAGGAGAAAAAGGTGCACCAGAGGTGTCCGAGCTAGTCAAGAAAAGGATCTTTAAATTTCACCTGCACGACAATCTAGTCAAAACCCGCGCCTCTTCCTTATAAAGCGCAATTTAAACAACTGATGTCCTGATGAGTACAAGGACTTGTAAACGTGCGAGAAGACGTTTTACCAAATGTCAAATTACGTTGAATTGTCGTTTGCGTTATAAATAAAGGAAACGGGCCTCGACATTAAACAAGGAGTTTTAAACAGTTTTTTAGCTTTGCTTCATACATAACTCGGTTTCGATCGACATAATGTGGCAAGAAGCAAAAAGTTAAGACTTCCAAATCCCGTCCCATTCTGTTTTGTGGTTAAACTGACAGCAAAGTTCATGCAATGATCCACTTCCCCAAGATAAACACAATCGACGAGTTCCTTCTGCTTAATTTAGTGGACTGACTTTAGACCTGTACAACAGTTGTTAAGGATAATTTTTTAAACTTACAAAGGACATAAATTCCTTTCGCAAAATTCATTCTCCCAGACTTCGTAACTATTGCAACTCGGCGAAGGATTTTTTCAGACCTACGTCTGCCAATCGGATTTTACAGCAATCATTATCATAGGCTTTTTAGGTAAATTTGCATAAGAAAATTCAACTACAAGAAAGGCTGCGATTTTAATCAGACATTTGAGTGATTAGTTTTTGATTATGCAGACGGTTCAGTTGCCTCGCCACTGTAGCTGAGGTATGTGCGAAATGCTGTTCTGATTTTGTGAGTTGGAGTAGCTGTTGAAAGTGTTACCTGCGTCCACAAACTAACTGAGCAAAGTAATGCTACATTACGATTTGGTTCTACGAATAATACTTAATGTTTTAGTGCTTTCTTTTAGATGGGATACAGGCAATACAACCATTGCGTTGCAGTGAGCTCCTTCCCCGCTCTGGTACCACTGCAGAGTGCAGTAGCATCACGTAGGTTACTGTGATTTTTGAATCAACCGATGGCAACGCTGCTTCAAAGGGCGCACTTTGTAACAATTTCTCTGCCTACGGAAAGTGCCAATGGATAAAACGGCAATCCCGATATAATAAATTAAGAATAATGGTAAATTCGCAGACACACTTAGGGCATATGGGAGAGCCCATTCGATTAAACACTCACAAGCGCGTTTCTTCTCCCCCATGTTTGCGCTTCAATCACTCTAAAATGCGAGTACAACGAGGACCAACTGATTTTTTGATCGTAACTAGCGCGAAAATAGGCAATCGAGATTGTTGTATCCCGTCAGGGCAACAAATGATTTTCTTTCGCATTATGGAAATGCAATTTTTCTTAGAAAGTTGCCTTAGCAGAGCGTTTAGTTTTCGGCTTAACAACTTTTTTGGTACTGGTGCGCTGCTAAATTATTACTTGCATTTGTTCTTAAACCTAGGCAGGATTTGTTGTGCCTCTGGCTTTTGCATTTTTAAATATGTGAAGAACGGTTTTTTTGTAAAACAATGACTGAAATTTTTATGGTTTACACAAAACGTATAGTTAATGAGCACCAGAACAGACTGCCAGACTGTGAATCAATCAAAGTGAGAGGAGAGGAGGCGGAGTTGTGTGGCTGAACAACGTACTGGAGCCTGTTGTTGTTGCTGTTGTTAGTAAAAGCCATTAGCTGCTTAACACATCCACATAAAATATCACTCCTTCCGTCTGAATATGTTAGTCAAACAGAGCTAAGCTGTTAGTCGCTGTACAAATGGAAGAGCTCAAAAAATATTAGGCTGTTTTGTTTATTTCTTGTATCCCTTCATGTTGACCTAGAATAAAAGTTTTTGTCACGATTGTGTTTGAGGACGTTTCATAGCGATCTCATATTCCTTCTTCTGCCGAATGGCTTACCCTAAAAAGAAGATACCGGCAAATCGGCATCAAAATTAACGTGAAGTTGAAATCATTTTGCCCCATAGTAACGACCATGGAAGGGCTGGGAGTAAATACAAGTTAGAGGTCGACAGTCTTCAGTTGATACTTGTTGGTGTAAAAAAGGTTTTTACCTCTCAAAAGCAATTGTGTGAGTGTGGGTGCGCTCGTAAAGAGTCCGCTTTCCAAACAGACACACGCACACAACACCGCCTATCTTCGGCAGGTGAATTTTTTCAATACCCACGTTTCTTGCCAGTGTTGCTTTTTACGCCTCCCTTCCCTGCTGCACGCGGTTTCTACCATTCCTACCTCAATCACCACCCCTCTCCCGTTTTGCTTCGCGCCACGCCTCGTCTCGCCTCGCCTCGCTACACTGCACCACTCACCCACTCACCGCTACTAACATGTACAACACTCTTCTCGGGCTTCAAAGCAGTCTCAGACGCGTAAATTTTCAACGGGGTGCAAGGGAGGTGCACATTGCTTATAACAGTTTTGGTCTCTTCACAATTCCCTTGGGTAATGCAAGCTCAACTTGGCGCGGAGGATAGTAATGCAGTTAAAATGGTAAACTTTTAATACACTGCATTTTGATGGCTCTCACTTGCACAAAACGTAGTTGTTGAATACTTGTTTTGGTTTCTAGAAATGGCAACTTAGCGAATGATCGCCTATGATGGCTTGATGGATAGTCTAAGAACCAAAATGTGTGTGCTTGAAACGTTCCACCATCACGTTTATGCAACACTTGAAGTGTCCTAGGTGACAAAATCGCGTTTACTAATACTCGCTGCTGAAATTTTGTCACCTCTCAATCCTCAAGAAGGCAGGGATTTTGACTCTTCCATTATTTCTTCAATGTAAGCTTCCCAAATGCTTTTGAGATGCTGAGCAAGGAAGTCAGGCCTTACCATAAGATAAGTCTATGGCACCGATTTAGTGCTTATACAAACCGCAAACTTAAATTTGGACCTAAACATTAAGCGAAATGCAACCCTTTAATTAGCATGGGATCACTCAGAATGACCTTTGTTGCAGAGGCGGGAGTTGTTAATAATTAATACATTCGTGCTGATTAGTTCCAGTAAGGCATGAAGTTGCTCTGAGTATAGACGAGTTTCCAAGACTTTTGTGCATACATAACGGAGAGTTCACAGCAATAGTATGCTGACTGACTTGTAAGATGCTTTTCCCTTCGAGTATGATCTAAGTGGTTTGTTTAAAGCAGTTCATCCTGATTTTTAAACGATTTAATGGCATTGCAATTTTTCTGAACAGCGATACAGAAAACCTTCCCAGGTAGGAGGCAAGTTAAATTACAACGCCAATGATAGTACAATTTTGAGTCATTGCTAACGAAAAGAAATTGGAATGAAATAAGGTTGACTATGGTGGGAATCGGATTTCACTATTACTAAGTGTTTAGCCTAAAAAACTTGCACTCATTTTTTCATCCTAACGACATGTTTTTGGGTAAGGAAATCTTTTCACTATGAACAATTTTTGGTTCTTTAGGCAACAAACACTGATTCACTATGCTTTGGATATAAAACCACGTGGCTGTGTACCCTGAGATTTTGGTTTATCCAAAGTATGCTGCATTTACCTATCACTTATCACAGTAGCAGAGAACAACACCCCAGGCCATGCTGCTGCCCTCTACTCCACTTGTGACAACTATTCCAATGGATTTGCTCACATCTACCCTGTCTGCACGTCGAAACGCATTGTGAGCCATCAGAATATGGGAGGCACTCAACAAACCGGTCCACTAAGCAACTCTCATCTTCTCACAGGCCTCGTTTCGCAGCCACGCAAGTGCCCTTCTGCAGCTACCACTACCACCACTGCCACGTACACCGAGATGTCCGACCAACTCTTGGCGGCTGCCAACAACGACGGAAACACCAAGAAGTCTGATTACCAGCTTTTGCTTCAGCAAAAGGTATTGTAGTCAAAGGTATCAGTGATTAAGGAAAGTACTTTGAGATTCTCTATAGTAGCAATAGAAAGGGATTTTGGAGTGACTGACTTTAAAACAGAAAAGACGGTTTATTCTGAATGACCACTTAGCCATCAAGAATTTGCAAATGACAGCTAGAGAATCCCATCACTGTACCAAAATTGCATGCTCGTGTCAAAGGAGAAGAAACTTTTGATACGGAGCGTGCTTACACAGTGATAATCAGATGACAAAGGGGTTAAAACTCAATGCCTTTTCAATTCCTTCAACATCTCGTTTAACCACTCATCCCATATAGTGTGCAAGTGACCAGATGACTTTAGTCTTTGCGAATGTTTTGAATTTCTATTTGCTCACCAGATGGTTTAACAGATATTGTACAGCCAGTTTGTTGGGATGGCATATGGTCGACTGTGCAAAGGGGTATTTGTCGTTTGTCGGACCGACCATCAACCCTTTTCCGGTTCTAATGTTATGGTTAAAATAATTAGTTATTAATTAAATTATCTCCCTATTTAAATGATATCTTTTGGGGTATTTAATTGAGGCAAATTGTTTTTGACTAATAATTAATGGGTAGTGTTTAAACTTGACCAATCACGGGCGGCCATTAATCAGACACCTTTTAACAAACTTGTGCTTAAAATGAGTCTACTTTGCGAGATACGATTGTAAATAAGATTTTGAATGACTCAGATACTTGGCTATTTAATGATCTTTTCTAGCAACTATTAACTTAGATGAATACGTTCCTTTTGGGAAGACGGATTTAACACATTGGAGGAGCAACTTTTCCAATTTAGATGCCAGTTTCAATACAGCGTCGACCCTCAGTTCGTCAATCGATTCACGCGGAGAAATTGATAGGAATCTCACTTCCAGCGGATGTGTGGACATCTGCCTCTCAAGAGAGCGGTGAGCTTATGAGCTCATCGACTGTCAGGGCGTCCAAGGACGAGATAGGGAAACATGCCCTCAAGTCGGCTATTCTCCAGCCCATGGGTCAGAGCAACAGTTCGGGGTGGAATTCAGACCTAGAAGATACGATAAATTCTACCACGCCATTACAACCTCACAAGATGGTCAAGTTCTCTGCCAGCACCATTTCCCTCAACAAATTGGCCTCCGCTGAGGGCGGTTTACCAAAGGCCGCTCAGTCTAGTTATGTGTAGCGGAGTCAGTAATTGAATGTATGCTTCCCCCCTTAATACCATTCCCACATTTTACCTGTATATCAACTTATGTAAAAAAGACGCAAGAAGCAATTACTTATTTAAGTCTTCGTCTTTGAGGTTAATAGTTTTTTTAGTCGAATTTTGGCAACCGAATTTTTTGTGGAATTGAATTGTGTTTTGCTAGGACTGAATTAACTTTGTTTGTTTTGTGCTATTCTGGGCGCTATCTGAGATTAACCTGCATAAACCAGTAGCCATTTAAACAAAGGACCGAAATAACTGCGTAATAAGAGCTGTTGACAATCATAAACAGCATTTGACATAACCAATGAGCTTTATCAGTAGATAGTTCAATACTTTACCTTCCTGCTGCAACGCTTCATGCCTAGGTGGCGGAAGGATCTGGACGTTAAAACTGAACATTAAGTCGACCATGCACTCCTTTGGTTCAAGTTAACAGGTCTATAGAAGAATGCTGGCATTCAATAGTAGTTTATTTTCGTACTCTCAGTCTGGAAGAGGATAACATTTGAAGTGCTACGACACACTTTCCCGATAACATGCAACACGACCAACCATAGCATCTCCGTGCCTTGTGTACGTACCCTCGTTTTGCACAAAATTTCGACTCTTCAATGGGGTCTACACACATGATCATTGTTATTTTGACAACTCGTTTACACTGTTTTAAGTGTATAACTTCAGATAATTGGAAGTTTGGTTGATGTTTTGAAGGCATGAAATTTTTGAGTGGAACTGAGACTCCACATAAGCCTTTCACTGATAACAAAATATTTGATTCCCCTTCAACTCCTTTAGTTTATTTGATCCACTTACTTTTTCCTTACGTTTTTAATTTATCACATTCGCTTAGTAACTCGGAGGATTGTTTGTAAATTATTTACGTAAAATAAGCTTCATATCCGATGGTGCAACCTACCACTCTTGGCGAGAGAGGGAAATGCATAACCGATGGCAGTGCATCCCTTCTTAGCAATTCTTAATCATGAGTTTAGTTACTCTGACAGGTAAGATGGCTGCTCAATTTTTTCGCCCTCCATATACAAAAGGTAGGAAAATGGATAAAAGTGGATTGCATTCCGGTTAGAATCTGATACATACGTCAAGGACATGGATTGAACATTAACCTCTTTACTTTCTTACTGGGTGTAGTGAAGATGGATGGCTGGAACATGCGCAGAAGTTTTGAACA